CCCTCCTGCCCCCAGCTAGTCGAACAGGTGAGTGGCCACCTGAAGGCACCTGGTCCTTGTCTCATGCAGAGCTGGCATTTGCGCCGCTGCTCCTAACCCTACTCCACTTGAAGTTGGTTGTTGTCCCATTTTACACACGCAGGCACCAAGGCTTACAGAGCCTGAGTCACTTTCACAAGCTCACACTACGGGAAAGCTGCGGCTCTGGCTGGGACCCAGGAGAGCACACACCTGGCTGCTCCACTCAGCCCCTGCGGGCTTGGTTATGTCCCCTCCCTCTGTGGCTGTACCTGGCCCAGGCCCCTTTTCTCCTGGCTCATCATTCACTGACCTCCCCGTCACGCCAGCCCACGTGTCCAGGGCCCATGTCACGGCCGACAGCCACGTGAAGCCCTTTGTTCAGCCCCACTCCCAGGTCGTGCCAGAGGCACAAGGGACCCAAGCATAAACTCCATCCTAGAAGGGGAGACGAGGGAGAAGGGCTCTCGGGTGCCAGAGAAGCTTCAGCGCAAGGGACAGAGAAGAGGGCGGGTAGATTGTGTGTGTGAAGTGGGGATGGGGTGCAGGTGGGTGAGTGGTCTGGGTGAACCCAGAACTGGCCACATGTGAGCTGAGCGCTGAAGGACTGAGCTGTGAGGTGAGCCCTGCGCCGCCTGGGCGGCAGGCAGGGGGGGCGCAGGCGGGGGGGGCGCAGGAGGGAAGCGTAGGTGCAGCCTCAGTGCACAGTAGGGTGGAGAGCCAGATGACCACATGCCCTCTCCACCTCCTGCAGGTGAATGAGCGGGTCTTGAACCGGCTCCACCAGGTCCAGAGGATCACTCGGAGGTTGCAGCAGGAACGCAGGTAACCTGGCGGGAAGCCGGCATGCCCCAAGTGCTCACGCCCTCCCTGCCTGCCCAGCATCAGTGGCTGGGAAGTGGCTGGGGCAGCAGGGCCCAGACCGGAGAGCACAGGAGTGGGCCTGGGCCCGGGAGGCCCAGCCCGGCTCCCTGACGGGGTGTGCGCACCACCAAGGAGCACAGCCCTCGAGGCTCAGACCGGCTTGAAAGCATTTTTGCCATGTCAGCGACAGCCCTTCCCCGAGCCCCAGCCTCCTGCCAACTAAGGGCGCTACCCAGGTTACCCGGAGCCACGAGGCAGCTGTGAGCCCCGTGTGAGCTCAGCCTGGCCCTCCTGCCACCACACCCAGGGCCCAGGGGGCAGCAGCCCCCACCTTGCTGGCCCTGGGGGTGCTCCCTCTCCTCTGAAGCCCCTTAGTGGCCAAGTCAGCCGCCTGCCCGGGATACCCCCACCCAGTTCCTTCTTGCCTCTTGGCTGGCTCATTCTCCCTTGCCCAAAGCTGACCCAGTGGGCCTAGGGCCCTGCCCATGCGCCCTCTCCCCCAGCCCGGTGCCTGGCATAGTGGCCGCAGATGGTGACATTTAATGAAACAAAATGTAAGCTCATTAAACTTTATTAACATGAACCGGGAAATCAGCTCCGCCGCAGCTTCTGCCACCGCGGTGCTCAGCAGCCGTCTGAATTAATTCAAGTGAACGCAAAACCTCACACCCTGCTGACACTGGCCTCTTCTGCTGCCCAGGAGCACAGTTGGTGCTTTTCATGAACCAAAATCTAATGACACGAGATTTGCTTCCCAGTGGCGCTGGGGAGTAAGTGCCCACGTAGCTGGTGCAGCCCCTGGCCACGCCCCCAGGCCAAGGGCTTGCCAAGAGCTGCGGGCAGCAGTGGACGGCACAGATGTGGGGCTCCCCTCCTGACCTGGCCGGCTGCCCCCCGGGAGGCCTCAGACTGCCTGGATGTTGCCAGCCTCCCACCTGTCTCCATGAGACGCCAGTCCCTGGTCAGCTGCTGCCGGCACCGCTCAGGGCACTCACGCCCCCTGCCTGAAGCCCCGGCGCTTCCCCTTTGCGCCGCCTCCCCCACAGCTGACCGGCTGGCTGGGGCGAGACTACCCCCATCTCAGCCTCATCTGGTCTCCAGCGCTCACATGACCCCTGGGCCTCCTTCCCTGCCTCACCCCCCGCGGGGCCCCTCCTTTTTCACGTGCACCAGATGAAGCTTTTACTCCGCAAGTTTCTGGCGGCCTGGTTGGCTCACTTTCTGAGCCAGCCCCTGGGGCCCCGCCCAGGGGGGCTCAGCGGTCAGGTGCTGTGGAAACCACCACCACAGGTTCCCCAGTTTTAAAAATAAGACCCAGAAGCGCTCATGACTCACCACAGCCAAGGGCGAAGCGCCCGGGGCCTCAGCAGGATAATCCGCACGAGGTGTCTCCTGGAGTGTGACTCAGCCCGCAAGCCCTAACGGCACTGCGTGTACATTTAAAAATGGTCAAGCTGGTACATTTTAGCGTATCCTTTACCCCGTTTTTAAGAAGAAAATTGATGTTTTCCAAAAGTGAAAATGTAAGACAGACCAAGTCACTCCTGCCCAAGCCCTGCCGCAGGGGTCCTGCCGGGGTCAGTCAGGGCCACATCTGCACAGCTGGGGGTGTGCGACCACACACCGGCACGCGGCCACCGCGGGTCTTGGCTCTTGCTGTCGCTTAGGCTGCTCCCTGACCGCCACAGGCGCCCCCGCACTGTCCTTTTGAGGCGTCTGTGCAGTCACACCCTGCCCTTTCCGTCCCCGACCGCTGACAGTGCTGATGGCCAGCCCCCCGGCGACCCCAGTTCTGCCCACAGGAGTGGCTGTGCTCCCCGGCCCCGGCGCCCTGCCAGGCACACAGCAGATGAGACCGTGCGCGTGAAATGCTCACCTCAGGCGATGCCAAGCAGGCAGCAGCTCGTCGGCACTCAACAGGCTTTTTGAAGCAGGGCTGGGCAAAACGGCCGTAGCAGGGTCCTCGGAGACGAGGTCCCCGGAAGGGGTGGGCTGACCAGCACTGCTCCTCACTCTGAGAACCACGTGCGCGCCAGCACTTAGCAAGCCTCTGCCTGCTGGGTGCCGCAGACAGCACCAGCTGCTGCCCACCTGGCCGGGCTGTCCTCTCCCGGTTACAGAGGCTCAGAGGCACCTGTTTTGCCCAAAGATGCCCTGGCATGTCGAGTTCTCCCAGCTCCAAACCTGGCTGAGCACACCTTGAGCTGAGCGTAGTGTCCGCCTGTCCTTCCCACCTCTGGGAGACAGCGGTCCCTCTCTGGCTTCTCTGGGCGCAGGTTCCTCATGAGGGTGCTGGACTCCTATGGCGATGACTACCGGGCTGGCCAGCTCACCATTGTGCTAGAGGTGAGGGGCCTCCGGGGGGAGCGCTGGGTGGGCTGTGGCCAGGCAGGCCCAGGACCCGGCCTTCACCCGCTGTCCCCGGCCAGGATGAGGGCAGTCAGGGCGCGGATGCGCCCACGCCCGGCAACACTGAGAACGAGCCTCCAGAGAAGGGGGGGCTGTCGCCTCCCGGGAGGACACCAGCGCCTCCCGAGGCTGGCAGCCCGGCCCCAGGCGAGGGGCCCAGTGGGCGAAAGAGGCGGCGAGCTCCCCGGGATGGACGCCGAGCAGAAGCCGTGCTGACGCCAGAGCTGGCTCCCGTGCAGGTAGGCCTGGCCGGGCGAGCGGGCGGGGGCTGGAGGCGCGGGGCAGCGGGCAAGGAGGCAGCGGGAGAGACGGGAGGGCTGGGAGGTGAGGAAGGCCCAGGGGCCTGCAGGGGACAGGAGCAGAGCGCGTGGCCCAGGCCAGGAGGAGGCCACTAGGCTACTGCCCACTCGCCTGATCCTGCTTTCACAGATAAAGGTCGAGGAAGACTTCGGCTTTGAAGCAGACGAGGCCCTGGATTCCAGCTGGGTTTCTCGGGGGCCAGACAAACTGCTGCCCTACCCCACCCTAGCCAGCTCTCCCTTTGACTGACCCCCAATAAACTCACCCTCTGTTCACCTCGGTACTGTCTACTGCTCCCACCTAATTACACACATGCCCAGATTCCGGGGTTAGTTTTCACGTTTTTATTGGGGATCCCAGAAGATGGGTTTCCTCCTGTCAACGGAGGTGCTCACAGTTTCTTCAGCCACTCCAAGCTGCGGCCCTGAGGGTCCTGGGGGTGGCTGGGCACGTCGGGCAAGTTCCCATCATCCCGGAGGGGCACTGGGGACAGGAGAGTGGGCCGCTGAGACCTAGTGGCCTCCTCCTGGCCAACCGAGGTGGTCTCGGGGGCCACGAAGGGCACCCAGAGCAGAGATGAGCAGAGGAAAGGCCTGAGTCACACACGCAGACACAGAGACAAGGGAGGAGAGAAGGTGGGCACAGACAGCCATCTGACAGAGCTGAGGAAACAAGACCAAGACCTGGAGACACCCAGGGAGCGACACAGATGGCAACCCCAGGACCGCAGAACATGGAAATGCAAACAGGGCACGTAAACCACAGGAAAGGAAAAAAGGTCTGGACTGCGCTGCCGGTCCCGGGTCCTTGCTGGGGAAAGCCCAGCCCGTGATGAGCCCCCTCGCTCAGGTCGGTCCCAGGGCCGACGCCGGCGCCCACTTACCTGGGTAGGTGTAGGGCGTGACCTGGTTGATCATGATGGCATACTTGGTGTAGGGGCTGAGAGGCGGCAGAAGGATAGCTGCGGACAGACCCGGGGGTGAGGCCCTGGGGAAGGGGAAAGCTGGGCCTCGGCAAAGTGGGGGTCAAGTGCATGGGAGGAGGGCACCATAAAAAGGGCCGAAACCGTTTATTGGAAGAGGCCAGGACCGAGTGCTTGTGCGCAGTGAGATGTAAAGGGGCAGGGGGCCCGGAGGTGGGCGTTGACAGGCCCGGGACGTGCTGGGAATGCAGAGTCCCGGGCCCGCCCAAGACCTACTGAATCAGCGCCTGCGTGTTAACGAGAACCGCAACAGGCCCCAAGGGGGCACCCAAGCGCGAGTGCTGCTGGGTCCGAGGTGTAGACTCAGGAGGGCACGTTCCGGTCTCTGCGGGCTTTTCCCGGGACAGACTCCCCGGCCACGACCCCCCTCACTTCATAGGGGCGTGGGGTGGGGAGTGGCATGGGAGGGTTGGATCCGGACATCATCTTTTAAAATTCTGCGCACTCAGTTAACTGTTTTCCAAGCACAGGCTCCTTGAGAGGGCTGATGGACAGCTCCGGTAGGGGCCTTCGGGGAGGGGAAGGCCGCGGGACGTCGTGGGGTGTTGGTACCCCGCGAGGACTCTGCGTTGGGGCGGCGAGGGGGCTGGCGGGACCGGGACTGAATGCCAAGGGGGGGACCCGTGGGGGAGGCGGGAGAGGAAGCCAGGACGCCGGCGGGGGCGACGCGCGGTGGCGCCTGCAGCACTCACGCACCGAGGCCCGCAATGGTAAAGGACGCGACCAGCACCGGCTCCTTGGCCCAGGCGTTCTTGAGGAAGGCGGCCAGTCCTGGAGAGGCGGGAGGAGGGTCACGCCTGCAGAGGGTGCCCGGGTGACCTCTAACCCTCCCCGCCACCCCGCCCTGGGGGAGGCCTCTAGTGGCCCCTGCGTCCCCCTCCGGCTGGACCCCGCCGTCTTCACAACATCTCGGCCACACCCTGCCCCCACGACAGCAGGAGGCTCGGGCCAGGACCCCTCGCCGCCGGCGCTCACACTTACTAGCAGCCATCTTGGTCGCGGCGGCGAGGCGCGGAGCACCCTGGGAGTTGTGGTCCCTCGCGCCGGGCGCTGCTGTCTGGGTCCGCGTGTGCGCACTAGCGCGAAACAGCTGTCGAAGGC